CAGGCGAAGACTAGCTCGTCCTGGGGGCTCTTGTCGGTGAGCTTCAGGTGGCGGCGCCACGAGTTGAAGTTGGCGGCATCCGGCTGCGTGTACTTGGCGTCAGGAGTGCGGTGGGAGTGGAAGATGAACTTGTTGGGGGAGAAGTACATGTTGCAGTAGCTGCATTTGATGCACTTGGCGCGGGAGCTGTTGTAGCGAGCGGGAATGAAGCTGCCGCGGCAGCCCCACGCGCACTCGTGAGACACGTCGAAGGCGAAGTTGTCCGGCAGCTTGGGCGGCCTGTTCTCGCCCAGGAAGGACTTGCACAGGCGCTCGGCCTCGCGTTTGGTAATCATGCCGCAGCGGCGCGAGGAGATGGGCATGGCCCCGGCGCGCCGCAGGATCTCCAGCTGCACCGGCGTGCACTGCACGCACGTGATGCCCAGCGCCACGCGGCGGTTGTGGATCTCGTTGTAGCTGAAGTTCTTGAGGAGAGTGTTGGAGATCTGCGCCAGGCACAGGCGCTCCTGCCCGTCGATCACCAACGACACGATGGGAATGCCGTAGAGAATCACCTGCCCCACCTGGTTGGGTTTGAGGTTGGCGTGGCCCGGGCGCGGCTGGCTCAGCGCGTCGGGCTGGAAGGCGCTGGAAGGGGAGGCCAGCAGGATGTCGCTGGGCCCCGGCAGCGGGCTGGAAGCCATCTCCTCCTCCGCGGAAGCCCGGGCCCAGCCCTCCGGGTCTGCCTTGGAGACTGAAAGGGAAAAGAGAAGGCGCTGATCAGAATCCTTTCCGGCTAAAACAGGGGTGGGTTGAGTCCCTACCGGAAGAATTATAACAATGTCCTTGTTTAGACTAAGACATGATTATCAAGGGGCCGAGGGACCAAGTTTCAGACATAAGGAAGTAATCTCTCAATTTTCTTCAAGGTCGCCCTTCTGAAATGGTGGCTTGGAAGGATTTTTTAAAAATCTCTGTTCCAATCATCTGAAGTAAATTAGCTATGTGTTTTCTTTAAAAAGCAGTCAATTCCTAAGAAACCAAAGACATTACCTCTTACCCCCTTATTTATAGAAGCTGTTAGAATAAGTGGCATGCCTGCTAGAAATAAGGATGTCAGTTATAACTAGTGCAGATTACAAAAGTTACGGAAAACTGGAGCTTGGCCATTGAAGCCCAAATTTAAAAAGAGAACATTTGCCTGAAAATCGATTTTGTTTTTTTGTTTTTTTTTTTTAAAACAAAAAAACAACCCAAACCGGAAAGAAAGTGATTTTGTGGTATTTGTGGTTTCCTTGGGAGAAATTCACTCGTGGTTGAGACACAGCTCATTAAGGCAAAATGAAACCCCTCACCCCTCATCCTTGCCGTTATATATTTTCGTACTGTAATTAGACTTTTTTTTTTGGAAAGATGGGAAAAATGTACAAAGCCATGTGCATGGTTGCACCAAAATAGGGCGTTGCACTTTCAATTTTTCAAAAAGCCACTTTCTGAACTGAGCGGTTCTGGTTCGATAGGCAGCTTAAAAAGATGAAGTTGTCGACTAGTAAACATTTAAAAACTGTTTTCCTGTCATTTCTATTACGATGAACAAATAAGCACGGGTGAGTGTGTTAAGTCCAGAAACAGTGCAAAGAGGCTAACAATTTGGGGGGATCATTATTGACGGGCTTCAATGGCAAATTTAGGTGTAAGGTGAACCGTTTTCTGTGACAGTTTTTTCTGGTCTGTATAGCTCTCCCCATACCTTTCGGTATAGATCATCTGTGGACCAGGTAATCGGTGGGAGCCTTGAAAGTGTAAGCTCTGGGTTGGGCCTGCGGTAAAATTCCCATTCTCTCTGGGATACCATAATGAGGGAAAATGTCCAGATAATTGAAGATAAGAGAAAAAGCAAGGGAAAGAAACCTTGGTGGCAAGGCAGATAAGTCAAAACCAGAAAAGTGGCTCATTCCCTAGGAAAGAGGACGGTGACCTATCTACAGCCACACTTCACGTGGGCGCAGCGACCACGACTCCCTTTTGCCCTGGAAAGTCACCGAGGCAGTAGCATGGCCAGACGCGGACAAGTACACTGGAGTCTGTTATTACAGCGACTTCAGAGGACACGCCATCTTCCTCCTTCACCCAAACTGCCATATTCTTGCCCTCTCTCCGCCCCTGAGACACCTATCCCCACGCCTTTGCCCTTCTGCCCTCTGGATCCTCAGCTCTCATTACCTTTTGTGGCCTCCAGGAAGGGTGAACAAACCTCGACCCGATAAACCGATTGAGAGAGAGCCTGGCTTGTCACTCAGAAGAGACCAGAGACAATTTCTAGGGGACAGGGCGTTAAATGGCAATTCAAGGCATGGCGATACCTGGGCCTGGCAGCCAGCTCTAGCTTCCACAAATGGTCCTTTAACGCTCGTTCCCTCCCCCTAAACCCCTCCACCCCCCAGAACAGATTTTTTTTATCTTAACAAGGCCCTGGGATGACGGAACGCTCGCTTTGGGGCAATGGAGCGCTGTGGGCCTGGCCCCGGCGAAGAGCTGGTTTTGCGTTACAAACCCGCACGCAGCCTTAGCAGCTGCAGCCGGAGCAGAAGTGTCTCCCCTTCTCCCCCAAGCCCTCCCAGAAACTCCCGTCACGGCGGAGACACAAATAAGAGGGCTTGGGAAGGGGTGTCTAAAACAGAGAGCGAGGGGGAGAAGAGACCATTAAAAGTTAGTTGAACTGAAAACGGAAGCTGGAGAACTTCCTTGTCCTACTCATGGGCCAACGACCCCAACTTAACTCCCCCGGCTCCTCAACTGATCTCGCAGCCGAAACCCACCGCCGCCCCTTTCCTAACCCGGAGAATCCCCCGCTGGGGATCTCAGATAGCGAATCGCATGTGTGCCGAGCCCGGGGCCGGCGGGGTCCCGCAGTACCTGGTGACCCCTAGGTGTCTTTACGCGCGTGGCTGACGGTCCATCTTCCGAGGGCGCTCGGAAGGGAAGCATCCAAGCGGGTCCTCGAATCCAGAGGGCGGGACTCGGGAGGGCTCCGCGTGAAGATCCTGGAGCTCGTTGGCGCTCAATGGCGCTCGAACCCGAACTTGCGTCAGGGTAGAATGACAGCCCGAATGCGGCGGGGCGTCCCCTTGGCCGCAGACAGTGTGGGCGCGCGGACCCCGCGGCAGGCGAGCGCAGGTGGAGCGCAGTCTGGCAGCGCCTTTCTCTGTCTTGGAACTCGTGTCGGACGGAGGGGACGCCACCCAGCGGGCAAGGTGACGTCACCGTCTCCCTGACACTCGACTGTGCACGGCTGGCGTGTTACAGGGAGGGAGGGAGGGGGAAGCGAAGGCAAGAGCGAGTCACATCTAGATCCTTTCGGGGCAGGCACGCAAGCTAACACCTAACCAACCCTCCGTTGACAACCACCTCCCAGCCCCGCAGCAAAACGCAGCCACGGCGCCGGAGCCACGGATCTGATCTAGGAATGGAAAGCCGAATAGTCTGCGTGCATCGGGGGAGTGGATCCTGGAGACCCCCGATTCTAAAGGGCGCCTCTAAAGTGACTGCATCCCTGCCTGTTATTGTTCCCTCCCCTCAAGTCTCAGAGTCACTCCTTCAGGAACGATCCTCCTGGTACACATTGCAGATCAGCAGCCTCACTTTGTCTCCAAAGAAATAGAAACTACAGTCAGGCAGGGAATAGAATAGCTTCAGCCCCTCTGAAACGCTGTGAAATGAGAGAGAGAGAGAGAGAGAGAGAGAGAAAGTTCCAAACAGGGTGCCCAGTCTAAAAACTTGGAAGGAAGCATGGAGAGTGACCTTACTCTTGAACAGAGAGTTGCTTTTTAGGACAAGATGCAGAGAATCAGCAAGGCATTCCCTACCTTAGAAAGTGTATGATCAAGTGAGGCCCTCAATGAGTGCCCATGTGCTCACATCTATCAGCTTGATCCAGAGTGGTCCTCTAACTCACATTATAAGACCCATGCAGGCCACCTCAGCACAGGGAAATGGTGAGACAGCAAAGCCGGAGGCCTCCAATCCTGACCAGCCCTTAAGCAAGTTGCTAGGTCCCCTGGGAAAAGTAAATTTCTCAGGGAACTAACTATGTAGGAGCATGCATAAAAAAACCCACACCAAAATAAAGACATGTAGGATGAGAAAGAACCATTTCCCACAGCTTTCCCCAAGCAAGGCACATCCTAGGATATAATGAAGAGTCAGTATATTGCCTGCTAATTGATCAGCTGTTAGGAGTCAAAATGCAGGGGAGTGGGATTGGGGATCCTTTAAGTTTTCCCTTTACAATTACAGCTGCATTTTCTATTGCTGCCTGTTGACACACATAGGCTTAGAGTCTGGCAGGCACACCTTCGAAATGATGTACAATCTCCACTAACCTGGAAACCCAGCCAGACTCCATCATAGCATCAACAACAAGCCATCACGACATCACCATATAGAAAGTGAACATGTGAAACCTTAACGCTTCATCGGAGGTCAATGAAACCAAGGAGAGCCAAGCAAACAGAAAGGCAAGGGATACAGGATTTGTGGCTGTTTTAAATGAATATGCCCAAACCAGTTTCAGAGCCATGAGAATTATAGTGTTTATTTGGACATAAGTTTCAAATGGCAGTGAGATGATTTTTCCATCCATCTCCTAGTTTCTAAAGGCATACGTGACACAAAATAGGCTCTGTGTTAAGGGCCTGAAGTCAACCAGTGCTCCCTTCCCAGTGCCCTCCGAGCCTCCCATTCAAAAAAAATAAATAAATAAAATAAAAGAAGAAGGAAAACTTAAGCGTAATGCCCGCCCAGCCCATTTTCCAGAAGAGTGGCCTTGTCATTCACAAATCCCTTTCCTCAGAGGGCCAGGTCTAGTTCTTGCCACCTTCCCCAACTCCTCTTCGGGTTGGGGCTCCCACAAAGCGAGGGCCCAGCCTACTCACGGTTCCTAGAGCCCAGGCTGCTAGAAGGAAAGCCCGAGCCTCTCGGCAAGAGAGCCTGGAGATGGGGTTGATTGTAAGACTGAAAATGGGATGAAATGAAAAGTCCCATCAGGTCATTCATGTACCACTGGGAAGTGCCCGGTCACTGCTGAGGAGGAAGCAGCCTGGGGGCTTCACTTTTCATCTCCACAGTTTTCATCTTTGCCCCCCAAAAGCCCCTCTTCCCCTTAAAGATCCTTTCTTGTTAAGTGTCTTAAAAACATCTTTCCTTGAAAAGAGAAACAGAACCAATTCCTTGCCTTCCCTCTCATCTCAGGTTACTCCTGGGAGTGAATCCACACCTGTAGCCTTCTACTAATCTGATCTTTAAACATCAACATGTATACACTACTTTGGGGGTCTTAGTACCATACAAACCTGTGACTTTATTTTAATGCAAAAAGTTTCACTGGAAAGAGAAATGTGTGATGCTAGAGCAAGTACATTTGCACAAATAATCCTAAGAATGGCACGGCAGGGTCTCTCCCCAGGAGGCTGGGGTGCCTGTTGGAGCTGTGGAACCGATTATATTTTTGGAAGATGAGGGTGGAGAACAACTTTTCAAACCCAGACTCCGTGCTCCAGAGAAGCCTTCCCTTGACTGCTGGAGCCGGACTGCAGGATTACAGCCTTTTTATGCGTTGGAGTCCGCGAGCAACTTTCTGTCACCCACTAGCTCTTTGACCCTTTGCTTTCTCCTCAGTTTGCACAAGTCTCCGGATGGCTCTCTACCGCCCTTCCATGGTCCTCTCCCGGGGCCAGGGGC